TTATTTAGACAGAACCAGTTGCTTTAAAAGTCAAATTTCTGGTTGCTAATTTGAAAATTTTATTGAATAAGCTAATAAGTCTGACAGCTAATTAAAGCAGTTTTAAAAAGATTTTGGTACCATGTTACTACCCACCTGAAAAATTGACAACTGCTTCATAATAAGGATGGCAAATAAAAGACACCTACAGAAATAGCTAAAGAACATGTTTTATGTGTTAATTCAAGTTGAGTATTTGGTCAAAGGTCGCACTTTTGTAAAACCTATTTAGCTTTTTGTTCAACTTGGATCAGTTGTGTTGTTTGTCATCCACATTTATGAAGATGTTGCTGACAAATGTTTAATGTCAAAAATTCAGCTGATGAAGAAAAGTCATTTATGGGAGAGGATTATTAGACTCATTATTTGGCAAGAAAAGAGTCATTGTTATCATGATCCTTGGATTTTTGTTTATGTTTTATGGTTCTTTGATTTTATTTTTTATTTTTTTTATTAGTGAGTTATTTTAATCTTCTCTGTCTATGTTTTATTGTTTAGTATAGTTGTATTTTATTTTCTTATTTCCTGTTTAGCGTCCCTGTTTCCTGTGCCCTGTCATCCAGCCACCCTCACCTGTTTCCAGTCTCCAATTAGGTCAGCTGTTTCCGAGACCTCGTTAGCTCGATAGGACCCGTCTTTTGTGCTCCTCATGTAATCCCTGAGTTCTCTGTAAGTTTTGCTGCCACAMCAGCTTTTCATTTTGTTTAATTAAATCTGGATCTGGATCCAAATCTCACCACAAACTTAATAATTATTCCTTTTTTAAATGCACAGAAACTGCATGCTAATGGTTTTTAAGGTGTTTACAACCTAAATGATTGGATTAACTGTTTATTAAACCTTTAAAATTTAGTTTTGTCTTAAAGTGTTACTGTGACAATTGATGTAAGTTTACTATTAAGCAAGTATTTGACAGATTCTTAATGCATATGAAGCCATTTTAAGTCAGTGGGAAAGTTTCACAGCTACAAATAATAATGATACAAGTTTGATTCTTAAATGTTTAATTCTACTTTAATTAGATTTTTTTTCTGTTTCCACAAAAATAACTCCAAAACTGCCAGAGAAACTGAAGTCATTCTATTAGTTTTAAAGGGATCCCCGATTAGTTGTAACATTAGACTTTATTTAATAAACATATTTTAACTGTAAAGTAAAGACTGTAAAAATACTGTAGGATGTTTAGTTTTGTACATTCTTAAAAATAAATTTTAACACGGACGGGGCCATTTTATTTCCACACAAAGCATTCTGGGTAAATGATGACGTGGATAGGTCCTCGGTGCGAGGCTGCTAGCGAGCTATATCCACCCTGAAGGTTAATCTTGGACAATATCTGATGATCGACTCTTTTAAATGAAACCTTTAGCTTTAGCGCCGACGCTATATTGCCTTATATACAGTATATTAGCTCGGTGCTAGCGTGACAAACAAGCAAGCTAAACTGAGGTCCTCCATCCATATTTTCAGTTCCAGCTGAGTCATTTTTG